TCACTGGCCATCCCTGGCATAGCATATCCCACTTTCCAATTCGGACTGAAGTCTCTTCTGCATGCACAAGGCAGACTTATTGTCAGATCTAATAAATAAGTCACAGCTGTCTGTTAGTGTCCCAGGGAGCCTGAGGGTATTATGCTGAGTGAAGTAAGTCAATTGGAGAAGGACAAACAGTGTATGTTCTCATTCATTTGGGGAATATAAATAATAGTGAAAGGGAATATAAGGGAAGGGAGAAGAAATGTATGGGAAATAACAGAAAGGGAGACAGAACATAAAGACTCCTAACTCTGGGAAACGAACTAGGGGTGGTGGAGGGGGAGGAGGGCGGGGGGTGGGGGTGAATGGGTGACGGGCACTGAGGGGGGCACTTGACGGGATGAGCACTGGGTGTTATTATGTATGTTGGTAAATTGAACACCAATAAAAAATAAATTTATTATTAAAAAAATTAAGTCACAGCTCGGAGCTACAGGACCCAAAAGTAAAATGCAGTGTCTAGCTAGCATCATTAGAGATAAATAAATTACCTGTAATCTGGAAAGCAGGTCGTCTTGATCCTCCATTCTGCTTTAGTGACTTTAGTGATTGATTTTGCTAAAGTCAGATGAAGCAGAAAGATATTCAGGTTCACCGCTTCAAGTGAAACGGAAGTGCTTGAGCCAAGAGATGAGATAACGAAACCCTTTGTGAAAGGAGATGAACAGAGGAACCGTGACTCCTGATTCCCCAAGGGTGTAGGCTGAGTCCTTCATGAGGGTCCTTCCTGCTTCTTGCCTTCAGAATGTGAGAGAGACACTATTGTGTCTGTTCCATAAACACTACTTTTTCATTTAGGGCAATTTAAGTGGGTTTGCAAACCATCTTTGATTTGATTTGCTTTGAAAGTGACCTGCCGCACAAAGACTCCATGGGGCCTGGAGTTCTACTGTGAGGGCCAGTCCTTAAGGTTGAGAAGACGAAGACCTCACTGAAGTGAAATATTATTGTAAAAGGACGAAGGCCATCATCAACCCATAGCATTTTAGAACTGTGTTGTCCCACAGCATGGGGGTGGGGGGCAGGAGAAGTAGAATGCAGGGCACCCATGTAAATTTAAAAGTTGGTATTAGCTACATTTAAAAAGTAAAAGAGGGGCACCTGAGAGGCTCAGTGGCTGAGCATCTGCCTTCGGCTCAGGGCGTGACCCCAGGATCCTGGGATCGAGTCCCACATTTGGCTCCCCGCGGGGAGCCTGCTTCTCCCTCTGCCTGTGTCTCTGCCCCTCTCTGTGTGTCTCTCATGAATAAATAAAATCTTTAAAAGAAAAGTAAGAGGCAGCCCCGATGGTGCAGTGGTTTAGCGCTGCCTGCAGCCTGGGGTGTGATCCTGGAGACCCAGGATCGAGTCCCACGTCGGGCTTCCTGCATGGAGCCTGCTTCTCCCTCTGCCTGTGTCTCTGCCTCTCTCTCTGAATAAATAAATAAAAAATCTTTAAAAAAAATAAGAAAAGAAAAGTAAAAGGGATCAGGTAAAGTTATCCTAACATATTCAATTTAATATAGGATATAAAATATGATTTTAATATGCAGTCATTAAATATAAAAAATATGCAGTCAATATAACAAATGTAAATAGGGTGTCTTCCATTGCTTTCCCTGTTTTGGTCCTAAGTCTTTGACATCTGGTGTGTATTTGACACAGCACATCTCAAGCACTTTGCAGCCACATGTGGTCAGCGGTTACTAGATTGGACAGTGCAGGTTGGAAATGTCACCACCAGGATTTCAAAGGGGAGGGCAAGTACATGCGGATGGGAAGAGAAGCAGGTAGGAAAGACCTCACTGAAATGATGGCAGAGAAAGGGAGGCATCTTCCACAGTTCTGAGTCCTAAGCCATGTGTGTCCTAAAGGGGGTGTGGCTGAGGGCGGGAGTGCAGGACGGGGAGGGTGGTGCTCTGCGGGCTGCACCTGTAGCACATCCTCCTGGTCTCTTCTTTCACCAGAGCTGCTCCTGCCCTCCGCTGTGAAGGAGAAATATGACTGGAAATCACGGGGGAATGGGGCTTGCAGATGGGAGTTTCTCTGGATAAATGTCTTAATCTCCAGCAAATGCAGAAGGTGGGAGATAGGAGCAGGTAGGAAAGCCAGGGAGAAGGACTGGAAAAGAGGGAGTGTGCTAAATATCTAGCACCAATCTCAGAAAATAGGCTGAGGAGATGGGATGACAGGAGGACTGTAGGTTAAGGACACAAAACACAAAGCCAGAGGGTTCCCCTAAGCGGTAGGACGGGATGAGAGCTGGCGTCTGGCTGTATGTGGAGTCTACGGAAGAGCTCAGACACTCACAGTGGTTGGGTACTTTTTTTTTAAAACAGGAAAACTCACATTTTTGGAAAAGATTAATTTATTTTACAGGGGCAGAGAGGGCGGGGGGGGGGGGCGGCAAGAGAGAGAGACAAGCAGGGAATGGGGGGCCCAACACAGAGCTGGGTTCCAGGACCCTGAGACCATGACTCGAGCTGAAACCAAGAGTCGGATGTTTGACCACCTAAGTCACCCAGCACCCCTGGGTTGGAACTTCTGCTGCTCATCTGTTCTAGGAAATGCCAGGTTCTCTCAACAAAAGGCCTAAGGCTATGTAGAAACATACCCCTGGGGTCAGCCACTTGGTCGCTGGCGTGTGCGAACGCTTACCAACAGCAGGGGTTAGACAATAGGACAACAGCACCTCACCAAGGATGCGCCGAGCGTGGGAGCCTAGACTGCAGCTGTCGCAGGCCTGAGGCAGAGCAGAGCACCGTAGTGGAGGAACCCGGATCCCTCAAGTAATTCTCCATCCACTCCAAGGCGGGTAAAAGAGAATTGTAACTGAACACTAACTGGCTATATTTTTCTGAATGAAAATTCTGAATGTAGGGACACTTGGGTGGCTCAGTGGGTCAAGCATCTGCCTTGGGCTCAGACCATGATCTCAGGGTCCTGGGATTGCTCAGTGGGGCTCTGCTTCTCTCTCTGCTCCTCTCCTTCCACTGCTCATGAGCACACGAGCAAGAACTCTCTCTCTCTCTCAAGTAAACAAATAAAATCTAAAAAAAGTCTGAATGTAGGCAGTTCTAGGGCTGGTTCTGCAGCTGAATGACATCATCATGGACTTGAGCTCGTTTGATTCCTCTTCTTCACCTGCACAGTCGGTTTGACTTTTTGTCCTTTGGCTTGTTACCTCATGAGCTCAAGATGGCTGCTATATTCCAGCATTCCATCTTAATTCAAAAGTAGGAAGCAGAGGGTAAAAAGTTTTCTTCTCAAGATTCCCCTTTAACCTAAGTATTGAGAAGCTTCCCAGGAAATATCCCTTTATCTCTCACCAGCCAGAAATGGGTCACATGGCTGTGGGTCATTTCTAGAAAGGTTGGGAAAGCAATGTTTGCAGCCTCTGGGGAGGGAAATGGCTTTGGATTGCTAACTCTAGTGAATGCCTCAGGTCCCAAGAGAAGGCATCATGCTGTAGAAAGAGGAACTAGGAGCCACAGCCTGTATGTGACCTGCCCTTGTCACTTAGTCTCTCCGAACCTACAACCTTCTCGCCATGGTGAAGAATTGGATTCATTAGATGGTCTCTTTCTGCTACAACACTTCTGATTTTATTAAAACAACTCGAGGGTGTTGAATGAGCTGTCTAGGTAGGGGTAATGTAATTAATTTAATGAAAGCCATTTGGTAAAGAACAGCTGGGCTCTTCTCCTTCCTGTGGTCGGGGACATTTGTCAGCTGGATAGACTCTCCTGCCTGCAGGTTTTGATGGAAGTTTAATGAGACCAACACCTTGGTGTCCTTGGTCTCTGAATGTCTCTGTTCCCAGTAAGAGTGTCAGACCTTGTGTGTGTGCTATGCCAAAGGGACCTCTCTTGGCTGTAGCTGACCTCAGCCTGCCCAAGCCGGGTCAGCGGAGGAGAGGAGATTGCCTCCCCCCCCCCCCCCGCAACCCCCCCTCCCCCCCACACAGGCCCTTGAACATCTTCCCCTCCTACCTGGCATTCGTCACTCTCTCGAGTTTGGGTTTACCCAACTCTGGCCCAGGTGTGGGTTTTGTCTACGTCCTTTCCAAAGCCCTTCACATCTCCACAGTTGCAAGTAACCAGGTCCACCAGGGGAAGAGAGATACAAAGGGGCGTTATGTGGTCACAGGGGATCCGATGGAACCAGGCGCAGGCAGTGCGGCCAGGTCCCTACGAGGGATGGGGACAGGGAGAAACCCCAACAGCACGTGGGCACATCCCATCTCCTGCTTTCCTCCCCTCCCTCTGTAGTTAGGAATACGGATTGAACTGGGCGCCTCACAGTTCCCAAGTAGGCTCATCCTCAGTTCAAGCACCAGCAAGATCGACAGGCATCTCTGCATCTTAAATTAAATTCCCAGGAGGGAGAATATGATGGCTCAGCTTGGGTAAGGTGTGCACCCTGGTCTAGCCACTACGGCAGCAGTAGGGGGTTGCTCAGGGAAGAGAGTCATCACAGCACAAGCCTGCACACAGGAGTTTCTCCTGTAAGAGAGGCGCATACGCCTTACAGAAGGGAGAGTGTGCCCTGGGCAAGTACTCCAAGGGCTGGTGTTTTGTCGTTGATTTTCATTTTTAATGAGGAAGTGGACCTAGGGACCCTGGGGTCCCAGGATCGAGTCCCACACTGGGATCCCTGCATGGAGCCTGCTTCTCCCTCTGCCTGTGTCTCTGCCTCTCATGAATAAATAAATAAAATCTTTTTAAAAAAAGGAAAAAAGAAATCTACAGTACAGACACTAGAGCTGACCCAGGTGGTTCTGGAATCACTTCCCTGACTACCAATCTGTATAGATTCTCCACTCTCCTTCCTTCCAACTCCAGCCCCTCAAAACCCTGGCCTCAGGGACGCAGGGAGAAACCAACCAGGCTCCAACGAACCAGCCGCTGCCCAAGACAGGGTCAGGTGATGTGTAAATGAATGAGAGATATTAAATGAATACAGGAATCTGTGTTTCAATAAAACTTTATTTGGCCCGTCCTGATCAAGTTTAATAGATCTTCTTAAAACGTGAGTAGTTATAACAATTCCTCTATAATAACAGTTATATATGAATTCCTGGTTAAGGTCAGCAGCTTGTTCCTTTACCAAAAAAAGTAAAGCCGCCCTCTGAGGACAAATGGCATGTGAGGAGTGGTGTATATTTCCTTTTCTTAAAAAAAAAAAAAGAAAGAAAGAAAGAAAAAAAGAAATCCAAACACTTCGTATTTACATATTTTCCATTTAAAAATTGGTCAGTGTGATTAATTCTGTTTTTAAATATAAGTTTCTAACGTATTGCAGGTTTCAATGTACAACTCCTAGTTAGCGGATAGGTTTCAGGTGCTGTTGAGGGTGGGTGAGCACAGCCCAAGGCCAACGCTGGGAGTCCTCTGCTTATGGACTGGCTAGACCTCCCGAAGGTATCCTAGGGGTGCAGGGGGGAGCAGACTACCAGTGGCAGGACTGGCACAGCCTTCCAGAGATGGACTATGCTTCCGTGAGGGCCTGCCGTGGCCATCCACCAGCTTCCCAGGCTCTGGGTGTGAGTATACCTCCCAGGGTGCATGCTCTGAGCTCATCTTGGCCTGAGCCAGGGGGGCATGGCTGCTTTGACAGTGTCTTGGGGTCTCTGTCTTGGGGTCTCTATGCTGCTGCCTGACCCGTGAAGTCTTTGACCCGTGAGGACCCTGCCTTTCGCATCTTCCTACCTTTCTGGGTTACTTGCCTGCAAGGCCACTTGCTTTCAATGCATTTCTTCAGGGCCTGCTCTTTGCCAGGGCTAAGCAGATGATCAAAGTCAAGGTAAGTATTAACGAAGCATGATGGTCCCGTGTGAAATTTTCTCTCCTAACACATTTGCTCCATGGCAGGCACCTCATGGCCCTGCTTACTCCAAATGAGTAATTCACGCCGAGAACATTAGTTCCCGAGGTAGGCTGGGAGAGGAGTTCTGCACGTCTGCGGGTGGGCTCTGTGTGTGTGGCTGGGTGTGGGGCTGCAGGCATTACTAGAACTGCTGTTCTCAAACACTGCTGTGTAGGGCATCCCCTGGGGGAACTGGGGCTGAAAGCCTGCATCCGTGCATGTGTCAGGAAAGTGCATAAGGAGTTCTGGAGGAGGTGTGTGCACAGGTCCGGAAGAGGAGTTCTTGTACCCACAGCCCCCCAAACCGGTCTGACTTGAAACAGGGTTTTCAGACCACATGGGGGTGAAGCAAATACAAGGGTGCTGGGGAGGGGAATATTTAAGCACTTAAGGAACCAGAAAATAGATGGTTGGCCTCGAGGGTAAAACTGGCTTCCTATCCCATTTTGGAATACAAGAAACTTTGCTCTGAATAAAAGATGGAACAGCTCAGATGGTAATGGGCAGGGAAGAAACATCTTGGACCAAATTTTCTTGGACTGGAAAGCCACAGTGAGCCCAGCAGAGGAAGACATTTTAGAGCAGACAGACACTGGCCTGTGAGCTGGGGCTACAGGGTTCGCCTGAGGGTAAGTACATTACTTGGCTCGTCTTGGCCTCACTGTCCTTCTGCTGGGGGGGGGGGGGGGGGCTGCTCAGACCAGATGGCTTCGACACTGGGTCAGCAAGACCCACCTGCACCCGGCCAGGGGGTAGGGCTGGCAGGCTGCTGTCTAAGACACTGTTCTTCCCCACAGGCTGCCGCTTATAAAACCCAAGGGCCCCCTCTTCTCTGGCAAAGTGATCAACCCCCAAACTAGGCTCCTGTCCAAACCTGCTCCCAGAGGTTAAAGGCTAATTATTAAGGCAGTTTAAGAAATGGAACTTCTTCTCTCTCCTCGGATCCTTCCTGTGTTCTGCTAACCCCAAGGCAGCAAGCAGAGAGGGGTGGAAGGGGTGGTGGAGGTGCCGGGGCGGGGGTGGGGGGTGGGGGCCCTTCCTGCCAGGCCCAGCTTTCCCCGGGGCCTCCCCGGGCCACAGCTCCCCCTCTCCCTCACCACCTTTCTTTGGAGAAGGCCTCGGTCTGCACCAGGTCGCCGGGGTGCTCGGGGATGCACGCGCCGTTCAGGTCACCCAGCTTGCTGTCCGGCAGGTCCTCCGGCTTGGTGCAGAGCTTCAGGGCGCGGGAGATGAACACGTCCAGGTCGAACTGGGGGCTGGCGCCGTCCACCGGGGCTGCGCGGCTGGGCGGGGAGGCCGCGGGGCGGCGCTCGGGGCTGCCGGGGGGCGGGCTGGCAGGCTCGGGGCCGCCCCGCGTGCTCTGCACCCACTGCGCGATCTCCAGGAAGAGGCTGGCCGGCTCGTCCTCGCGCGGCCCAGGGTCCGCGGCCACCCTGGCGCTGGGGGGCGGCCCGGCCGCCTGCTTCCAGTGCGACAGGTCCAGGATGAGCTTGGGCTCCGAGTAGTGGTGTGGCTTGCTGTCGCGCCACAGCAGCTTGTCCAGGTAGGAGGGCGAGCCCACCTTGTAGTCGCAGGAGCGCCCGCAGTCGGCCTCGAAGGCGCGCTCCATGGACGAGGGCGAGCGCTCCAGGAAGCGCTCGGAGCTGCCCTGCGAGTCCTTGCGCGGGTCCACCTGCACGTCCTCCGCCAGCGCAGCCGAGCCCGCGCGGGGGTCGCGCTGCACCTCGCTGGCGTCCTGGCAGCGGTCCGGCCGCCAGTCCAGGTCGGATGACAGGCTCACGGGGTACCTATGGACAGAGGGGTGATTGGAGCCCCTGACTGGACCCCCGGGTGAGCTGGCTTCCGGGGCGGGCACGCCCCTGGTCCCTGCCTGCCCCCTCAGACTGCCTTTCCATTCCTTCCCAGCTGCTCAGGTCCTGGGACCCCTGCTTCCCAAGGGGGTTGGGTAATGGGGGTATTTTTCTTGGCTTAACCCTTGTAGTTATGCTGTAGTCATTCAACACCCTACAGCTACTGCTTCAACACCTTCCTGTGTGCCAGACACTGACACTCCAGACACAGCAGTGAACAAAACAACAAATCCCCTGTCCTCATGGAACCTCCTTTCAAGGGGATCCACCTATGCAGTACTCCTCAAACTCTGACATGCACACACATCGCCCACCACCCTTGTTAAATTGAGGCTCTTGATCCAGGAACTCCAAGAGGGGGCCTGAGAGTCTGTGGTTCTAACAAGGTCCCAGGTGAGGCTGATGCTGCTGGTCCAGGGACCACGCTTCAAGCAGCAGGGCCCTAATAAGTGCCTCTCAGCCCTGGCTCAGACTAGAGTCCTCCCACACCCTCAATTTGGATTTGTAGGTCTAGACTGAGGTTTTGTATCAGCGTGGTTTGAATATACCCCAGGTGATGCAAAGATGAGCCAGGGCTCAGAACTCTTGCCCTAGTGGACCTGGTGGGATGCCCCCAGCACCCTGCATCAGTGCAGTGCAGGTGGGGTCTGCGGAAAGATTACAGACACCCTCAGGAGAGGCCAAAGATCCTTGGAACTCTGCCTCCTGTCAGCTGCCCTGCAGCCACAGAGAGCAGTCAGCTACCCAAGAGCAAATGAAGGGCAGGCCAGGTGTGCAGGCTGCAGCTCGAGCTGGGCCTCCTCCTCCAGGTGCAGGGTGTTCTCTGCAGAACCATGTGGAGGGAGGCAGGGAGCACAGGGGAGGGGGAAGCCAGCAGCCAGCTGCTCATGGTATAGGGTACCTAGTGCTCACACAGGAAAACTAACACACCAAGGACGGGCAGGTTTGGCTGTGAGAGGGCAGGCACACAGCAGCAGTCTACACCATGTGGTTTGTGAGGCACAGCAAAGGGCCAAGACTGCCCGCGCTCTCTCCAAGTGACATCAGGAGGGCAGGAATCACCCCCAGAGGTGAAAACTGTTTCATACCATGAGGGTCCTTGAGATTACAGAAACTTCTAGGAGGAAGAACCTGTGAAGACCCTTAATCCTTGGCTGCTACACACCAGGGGCCAAATGCTGGTTCTCTGAGGTCCTCACAGAGACTCTGTGGAGTTAGTCTATCACGCTGCCTTACAGATGAGGACACTGCTGTTCAAAGGCTAAGCCATTTGCACAAAGCAGGAAGGCCTGTAGGGAGGAGCCTGCCATTGACTGACCATCTCCTGCATGCAGGTGTGATGGGAAAGTCAGGAACAGAGCTGTGTCAGGTTGAGAATTGGTCAGAGTTGGTCAGCAGTGGCCAAAGAAACCCTGTGATAGTTTTCTTGGCACCAACCCTGCACCACAGTCATGAGAAGCGTGGCATGGGCCTCTCTGGGCCAGTGCTCTGTGTCCTCAAATGCTATGGAGTGGAGGAGGCCGAGCTGCAGGGACTACAGTCTAAGGCGGGAAAAGCATAGGGGTGGCAGAAGAAAGAGTCTTCATTAATCTCTATCTGCTGGCAACTCTTGATGAAACAATTGACAACTACAAACCAACAAACCTCTCCAAAAATAGCAATGTTGCCCTGGCCCTCCCTCAGTGCCTCCTTCATCTGAAACACATCATCTGTCAAATGACTGAAAAGGAGAACTTGCTCATCTGTCACTTACATAACTAGTTGTCACCTTCTCACAACAGTGGAGCTCCCACATAGGGCCCCTCCAAGTCCTAGCTGCTAAGCCCCTGACTTCTATTTCTAAACTGAGCAGCTCTTGGCTCTCCCTCCCAGGATTAGCAGATAGTGACACCCAAATGTTTCGTTGCCTGATTGCAACGTCAGAGCAGGAAGGGTCCTGAGAAACCAACATGCCTACAGAGATTGTTAAAAAAATGTGTGTTCTATCCAATCCTGAGTCACTAGTAGTGACTTCCGGGCACACAGTGTTGAGAAGGATTGGAGGCCAAGCCCCGTGTGGCAGGCAAGAGTCCTGTGACTGCTCCACAGTGTCTGACATAGACACAGATCAAGGAGGCCCCACCCGAGGCAGGCATCAGCTGTGTGGCAAGACACCAGTGTCTCCCCTCTCTGGGTTGTGGCTTCGTCGTGTGTCACTGGGCAGTAATAATAATGGCACCCCCTTAACGGCACTCTTGGGAGGTGCCAACGATGTGGACCATGCAGAAGTGTTGTGCAGTAATCAATGTTGCATTGTCTCCTTGCTGTGCACTGGCCCAGTCTGCTTCTCTAAGGCAGAGTCCCAGTCTGCTAGAAGTGAGTTCCAGTGATGGGAACTCCTTAAGTGTTGCTGAACATTGTATTGAGCCCTGGCTCTAGTACACTCAGGCAGAGGGAAGAGGAGTGGTGTCTGTGTTACACAAAGGAAGGCCCCGGACCCACACATGCTCATTTGCCAGGAGTTCCTGGGGGCAGGAGAGAAAGGCAGTAAACTAATGGGGGAAAGCATCCCATAGGCTTTAGAGCTTGGGAGGCAGAGGGAAAGGTCAGGGAGGACCAAAGGCAAGACAGACATGGAAGGATGAGAACGTGGATTCTAGACTCCAGGGCTGGAGGCCCCTGGAACTGTACCTGTCCCAGTTGGAGAGCTGGCTCTGGTTGGCGGCCATCAGCAGGATGTCATCGATCTCATCTTCAATGCGGAAGGGGTGCTGCGAGGTGGGCTCATCCTCAGGGCACGAGTATGGGCTCATGTAGGGATGCTGCAGCCCCATCTCTGCTGTTAGGCGATCCATGGGGTTGAAGGTCAGGATCTTCTCTAGAAAGTCTATGGCTGCAAAACAAGACATGAAGGTCATTCATTGCCCTGCCTTGCAGAGAATGAGTCCTCAGCATGGTGACAGTTTTTTGTACTTTCCCGTTTGTAAAAAGGTTTTTGGCCATCTTCCTCCCTCGTGATCCTCACCACCATCCAGGGATGAATTCAGAGTAGATACTGCCTGTGGCTTCCAGGTGCCAGCAGTGATGAGCCTCTGAGAGAGAGGTCACAGAGAAGGTGAGGCTGGTGGGACAGGGCCTGACAGCGTGGAGCTCCTGAGTCCAGCCTTCCCACCATATGCTGTTTGCGCCTGGAGGTTTGACAAACAAGGCCAGGTGGGCTTGATACTAAGATACTTAGCCACCATGCTGAAGCCCTCCCAGGGACTAGGGTCTAGATCCAGGGAAAGTCCTAGGCAGCCGGAACCCGGGGACAGGAGGGGACACTGAGAAGCCTTGTTTGGTGGCTGGTTGCCAAGCAGCATGAAAGTATATCAAGATTTTGGCAGCACGTCGGGTGATGTGGGTGCACACTGGCCACACATCATCTCTGCATGCAGGATGGTGTCCTTCCTCCCAAGCAGGGGCAGGGGCAGGGGCAGGGACGGCTGTCTGCTTATGGGCTCTGCCCTGGGTCATCTCAGGGCAGCTCTGGACTGGAGGTTTATATTACCTCTCAGTGCTGGAGGCTCCATTTAAATCATGGCTTGGCTCATGCTGTTACCGGCCACATGGCAAGGGAGGAATGCCACTGAGCTCAGGAGCCTCAGCCAGCACCACGACCCTGCCCCTGACACCGGCCCCGGGTCTCTCTGCAGGAAAATCCATCAATGATTCAGGTAAGTGATGGATTCAGAAGGTCACTGGACTCCCAGGAGGACGTGGTAAGGCTCCATATGCCTAGACCGAAAGATCAAGAAAGGGGCAGTGACTCAGAGGCTGCCTCTGGGCCAGGGCTGCACACCTGCAGGAGCCCCACAGATCACCGGGCTGGAGAGAGCCGGGCTCTCGGGCGTGCGGCCCTGCTCTGGTGCTGCTGGGCTCCAGGCTGGCCAAGTCTCCCCCACGGGGCTACGCCCTCCCCGGCCGACCTAGCACCCTGGACCTTCTGACCAGGACGGGAGAGGACCGCGCCCTCCGCATAGGCAGGCATCATCAGCGCGATCATTATCATTTAAGAAGCCCCAGCAAACCCTGAAGTCGGGAAGTGCCAACCCAAAGTCCGCTCCCACCGACTAGTAAAAATGAGTCTCTTCTTTCCTCTCCCTGGCAGCTGGCCTTGGCAGGTGCCCAGACGCATCTGGATGCCCGAACATCAGCACATCCCTTCTGACACCTAAGTCTGCCCCCTCCACCTTCCCTGCCAGCCTCGCTCCACTCACTGCGTTCCCCCAAGGCAGCATGTTCTCTCTTCCCTGTGGCTGTGCAAGCTCCTTCGCCGGCACCCCCGGCCTGCACCTCCTAGCCTCCCCTGCAGTTCAGTGAGGCTGTGTGACTGGGCCCCGTGGGGGGGGGGGCATGATGTGTGCACTGCACCCCCAGGCCGGACACATAAAAATGTCCTGCAGGAGTCTCTGCGCTGTCTCCCCCTGGCTTCAGCTGGACATTGGTACCAGGGGACAGCGGTGTGTTGAGGTTGGCAGATACTGGGCCCTGGGGCGCCCAGGCTCCCCCGGTCTGTGCGGACTTGAGGTGAGCCCTGTGCATGCTGTGAGCAGGGTCCCCCTGAAGGTTCCACAGGGAGAACCACAGCACGAGCTTTGTTCTTCCTCAGTGTGGAGACCAGCTGCCACTGCCATCCCCCACCTCCCCTTTTCTGGGCCCTGGCTCCCCACATGTTCTGAAGGCACGCTGAACTCCAAACGGGACTTCTCAGATCCCTCGGGGTTCTGGAAGGATTCTCAGAGGCATCTCTGGAGATTGGGAGGCAGGGGGCTGGGCCCTGAGGCCTACAATCCTGCATCACCCAGAGAAATCCTGTTACTCATTTCCAGTTTTCCTCATCGGATTTGTCACTTGTGATACATTTACTTCTCAGAGTAAATGGAGTTCGGAACTCACACTTTGACCTGATGGTCCCGGGGCCCATCTTCATTCTCCTGCCATCCTCCTGCTGGGGGACCACAGCGTCATCCAGGCTGCCCTTCGAGCTCTGGGGGCTACAGCCAGAGACACACCCGGCCTTGAAGGTACAGCAAGGGAGGGGCCTCAGGCCAGCAGCTGGTGCCCCTGATAGGGGATTGGCGCCCTTTTCCCCACCTGTACTTTATTCTGGTGACCCCTCATTCTCCTAAAGCCAGGGGTGACCTTTTGTCAAGGCCAACTTTCCAAGGCCAGAGGCAGGCGAGAGAATTTTGGTTGGGGGTGAGTTTTGGCTCATTGGGAGGTGGAGCAAGCCTGGTGCTAGTGAACCCCTGTCCAGCTATCGGGTGGAGCCCAAACTCATCGGCTCTCAGCCCTTCTTGCCTCTGCAGCCTCACTTCCTGCCACCAGGTCTGTGACTCGTCTGGCTGACCCAGGCCCTCACCCTATGCCCCCAGCCAGCTGCTCTGTCCCTCTCAGTGTGCGTGATTCCCTTCCTCTCCCCAAATACCCAGAGCTCTCACTGGCCCCTTAGGACGTGTTCCTTAGACTTTTTCCCACCTCTGGCAGGTGTTCCCTGTCTTCCCAGCGAGAGCACCACTCGTGTCTCTAACTTCCAGCCCTAGCACTGTGGTGGCTTCATACATGTTGGAGGATCCTGCGGACAATGGTGAGGAGCTGAGACAAAGCCTAGCACTCTGAGCCTTGAGTCACCAAGGGGCTGCTGCATGTGTGTGCTGTTGCCTGGGGGAGGGGACATGGGTGACACATCTCTGATCCAGAATTTCTGAGAGGCAGATGCACCTCTCATCTCGTGGAGGGATTTCTACAGGGCCCTAGGACTCAAGTGTAGTAGGGCTGAGTCTTAATTTGTGGTGAAGGAAATGATCCCTCCTTTCCTTTAATGAAGAGAAAACTGAGGCTGTTATGACTGAGTGGGGGATCATGGCCAAGGACATTGTTAAAGACACTTCTAGTCTCTCTTGGTTTCCTGATGGTTCCATTCATAACAGTGGACACGAAGTGGCATGGAGTAAACACCCACTTCACAGCTTCCACTGCAGCGAGCTGGGGCCGTGGACCAAGTTCTGGCCCACAGAACCTGAGTGGAGGTGAGGTGTACAATTGTGCTTCATGCCCTTAAGGACAAAAGGACCTCCCCTCCTTCTCCCCCTTCCTCCAGGGTTTAGAGGTGATACCCTAAGAGGGCAGGCCCTGGACTGTCTGCTTTGTGATTATTATATAAGAGAGAAATAAACTTTTTTTTTAAAAAAAATAAGAAATAAATCATATTTAAGCCATTGAGAATTTGGGTCTCTCTTACAATTGGCTGAAACTGTAGCCTACCTAATATAGGTAGGGGTCTCCTAAGGAAGCCTCTGGCAGGCATGAGGCACAGTGATAATGTTGACATTCTTTAAAAAGATTTTATTCATTTATTTGAGAGAGAGACATAAAGAATAAGAGCAGGGGTGGGGCAAGCAGGCTCCCTGCTGAGCTCTGGGCTCGATCCAGGACCCTGAGCTCATGACCTGAGCCCAAGGCAAACACCTCACAGACTGAGCCCCCAGGCACCCCAATGTTAACATCTAAGATGATGGAGCCCAGGGTTTACACATTCTACTTTACTGACCTGTAATGCTGACCCCGTATAACATGGATTGCTGTGCCCATTTTACAGTTAAGGGAACTGAGGTGAGAGGTTAGAAACCTTACTCAAGGCCCAACAGCTACTGCCTGATGGACCAGGGAATTGAGTCTGGGTCTCAAGATCATAAAACTCGTGTTCTCTGCAACCACATCATCAAGAGGAGCAAGGAGAGAAAGATGAAGGAGGAGAGGGAGGAAGGCAAGGGAAAGACAACAAGGAAAAGGAAGCAAAGATGGGGAGTCTATGGAGGGCCACCAGTGGCTGCCTTGAGGGCTGCCTGAAGGCTCAACCCAGGGCCCAGGGACACTGTGTCTGGACGTAGTCAGGCAGATCCCGCCACACTGGAGTGGCCCTGGCCTCGTGTGTTTTCTCTGCGTCCTTCGGGAAGGGGACCACCTGCCCAGAGCCCCAGGTGAGGCCAGAGCGCAGCCTCCTGGGTGCTGGCTGGGCTGTCAGGTGGAGGTACCTTCACTGTTCACTTCGGGGAGCAGCTTGCGCAGTGGCCGTTTCACTTCCCAGGTGCTGCTGATGAAGGACGGCATCACCCTGAGCAGCTCGTCTTTGTCCTCCTCCCGGATCACAGGGATGGTCTCTAGGATCAGCTGCATCTGCTCCAGCTCGTGAGCCCCTGCAGAGCCAAACACCAGCCAGGTAAGTGTGTGGCCCATGCGCTGGGGCAGTGGGCAGCCCGGGAGGGGCAGCGCGGGGGTGGGCACACTGGGCCCCGGGCCGGGGACCTGGGTTCTGCTCTTCACTCTGCCACTGACTTGCTGTGCGAGTGTAGGCAGGGCGCTGGCCAACTCTGGGGCTTGGTGGGTCGAATGTCTTTGCCTCTGCGATGCTCGAGTCTGACACACATGGAGTCAGCCAGACCACGGGGACAGGGACACCTGGGCGCAAGGCTTCCCCCCCCTGCCTTCCCACATTCGTCCCTGCGTGTCCTCTAGCAGGTCGGGAAAGGAAGTGATTTTGAGGCCAGGGCCGAGCCTCACCTGCTGTTTCCAATCAGGAGGACCCAAATGAGGAGGCGGACAGTCAGAAATAACAAACTGGCTTTGGAATGCATCTTGTGCTCCTTCGGGCAGAGGGAGGAAGACAGGCTGTGCCAGGTGTGGGGGAGAAGAGTTTGGGACAGGACAGACTCAGGCATTCATTCAGTCCTCTGCTCCCTCACTCCTTCGCCAAGTAATGACTTACTGAGCACCTTCTGCATGCCAGGCATCGGGCTGGGTGCTGGTCTGTAAGCAGCTCAGTCCATGAGTCTCAGGAAGGCAACTCCCCTTTGCCACCCGAGCACTGAGGCTGGACCAGTGCTGCAGCACGGCGATGTGCTCGGGCCTCTCCTTGCTGTCCTCCCACCTTCAGGCTCTTCTTTCTCCCACTGCTTCCACTTCCCTCTGTGCTTGAGTAGCCTTCCCACTTACCTCTCCCAGTTTAAACCCTTAACCAAGACTTTCTATCTTCGAGAAGTCCCCAAATTCATCTGGCTGCTCAGAGTGCCCTGCCCTTACCACGGATTCCTATGGGATTCCGGCCTGCCCTCGGTGGTGCTCTTCTGTGTTCCCCATGATTTCGGGTGTAGCACTGAGCATATGTGAATGCTGGGATTCTGCCCCAGGAGTGCCTGCAGCTCAGGCCCCATCATGAGGAGGTCCCTCTGGCCTCCCCCGTGGGGAATCATGGAGGGTCGATTCGGGGACCGTGGGAGCCCCTTGTCAGGTCCCCTCTCCAGACGAACACTCCACACTGACTGCTCACAGTGGCAGGGAGAGAGGACGACGGGGCTGAGAATGGAGGATGGATGGTCCAGCAGTCCATCTCAGGTGTTTGAATATGTCATTACTTGATTCTGAAAGTTCCGCCCTCAAGAGGTTAAGGTGCCTCCAAGTAGGTGCATAAAGCCATAAAGGTCATTTTAAAGAGAAAGGATAGGATGTTTGGTGATTGGCATGGGTTTGGTTTGTTCGATTGGTTGGTTGCTGCAGTGAGCTCCCTCCCTTCTTACAGAACGACGGCAGAGGAGAAGGAAGATGGCACGGTTAGGGACTCACCAGCAAAGAGCATTCTGCCCGTGAGCATCTCGGCCAGGATGCAGCCGGCGGCCCACATGTCGATGGCTTTGGTGTAGTTGTTAGGGGACAGGAGCAGGCGGGGTGAGCGGTACCACTTAGTTACCAGCCCTTCCGACAGATAACCCTGGAAGACAAAACCCCAGGTTCCGGTGGTCAGCCACGTGCAGGTACCCTTTCTCCCAGGTGCCTTCTTATTTCTCTCCACCCAGAGATAGCTCCCCGTCCTTCCCTGAGGCTCAGGGATTCTCCTCTGTGGTAGGGAGGCCAGATACCAACATTCTGGGAGGAAGACTGTCTCACCCCAACTGGATGTAACCATGCACAACAAATGTGCCCTCACCCAGTCAGAGGCTGGATACAGAGGAGCCAAAATCAAGTGCATTACCACCATCAACAGAGTAGTGATGAGAACCTGGGCTTTCACTGACCGAGGGGTCAGTCTCAGCAACAGCTGTACATTTGAAATCGAGCCAGTTGCTTTGGTGCTGAGGACTCAATTTAATGTGACGACTGCCAGAGACGCCAAGCCCCTGCTAAAAATGGACAAGGCCAGCTTGGTAAGGGGTGCGGGTGAAGGGTATGGCAACAGCCCTGCGCAGCCCAGTGGGTGCAGTGTCGGCTGGCCCAGAGGGCTCAGGGAGCTCCACCTGTCCTGGATTGTGGGGCGATCGGCATCCTAGCTGATTTCAGCCCCTGCTCAGGGATCTATGGCCTGGGGTGGAATCCCGACAAGCTTTGGTGGTGATGGAAGCATTTAGCACAGAATGGAAAATACAGGCAGGCCAGCTGGTGACTGTTCTCTACATAATCAAGAGCGTGAGTCCAACAGTATAACCTGGGGGGTATCCACTTGGGTTCCTTGGAACTGTCTCTCTAGATTGAGAAGGTAGACCTGGTTGGAGGGTCAAGAGGGGACAATTCAGAGGGAGGGCATCCAGTGTCATATTCCAGATATGGTCCAGACACCAGCTGATGTAACTCCCCATTTGGCATCTGAAGTAAACACAGACCCAGGCTTAAGCAGATGACACGTTAAGAAGCCCAAATACCCAGGAGTTTTTGATCCATTGATCCAAAATCCCTTTCTTTGTTCAGCAAGGATTTATTAAGTGTTTCAAACCTTCTGAGAGCCCTGTGGTATGAAAGCAGTTCCCTCTCCTCTCTGGTACGTGTTTCTTCAGAGTAGGGCCTCACACTGGTGGAGGGAAGGGGGAAAGAGGAGGTGACCACAGCATATGCATTCCTGGCCTCAATGCTCCAACCCTACGAACTCCTATAGACTCCCTGATTTATTTTCAGGTCAGGGGCTGAGGTTGTCAGAGGAAGACACAAGCAGAGTCACACAGAGGGAGGCGAGAGGAGGGGAGGTGCTCTGATGGGAGTGAGCTGTCACCGGATGGCACTTCCTGTCATTAGTGCCTGCCTGCCTGCAGCATCTAGAACTGAAGTGGGGACACAGCGGCCCTCCTTCTCAAACACCTGTCTTGAAAGTAAAAGAAAGATATTTGCATGGATGAGGCTGCCCTGGGCCAGGTCACAATGTTGGCTGAGAAAGTTCACCGTAGCTCTTCCTTCCTCTAGAGTGAAAGCCCAGCACCAGCCGCTTCCCTATGGTCACTTGCCCCTCAAGCCCTTTTGAACACAGAGGACACACTGATGTGTTTCAGAAGCCACTGGGCAGAGGAAAACGTGGGAAGCTGCAGTGTCCCCTGGCAGGCTCCAGAGCCAGAGGAGCCTGGGGAAGTGGGGAGGGGACAGCTGTGGGATGGGGGTGGTGGCAGGGGTCCTGCCCTCAGCCCCAGGCATTCAAGCAGAAGATGCTCTGGGGCTTACAGCATGATCCTGGTGATCTGAGTTCAAGAAAGTTTCAGTGGATCCTGAGAGTCTTCTTTAGCAAATCAAGATCCTTTTGGACACCTCCCTTTTTGCTTTCCTCTTCCAACTCCCAGGTATATAACCTGTCTGTATCCCTTGACTATATTTCCTACCACTAAGTTGAGAATTCTTCTTATTTAAGCTGGAAAGCTAAACTACTTGTCTAAAGAATGCTGAAAATATTTAACTCAACTTTGCATTTTAAAATCTAGTTTTTTAAAAAAAATAAATAAAATCTAGTTTTTTTGGGGGGGAAGGGCAAGATGGCAGAAGAGAAGGGTCCCCAAGTCACCTGTCCCCACCAAATTACCTAGATAACCTTCAAATCATCCTGAAAATCTACGAATTCGGCCTGAGATTTAAAGAGAGACCAGCTGGAATGCTACAGTGAAAAGAGTTCGCGCTTCTATCAAGGTAGGAAGACGGGGAAAAAGAAATAAAGAAACCAAAGGCCTCCAAGGGGGAGGGGCCCGGCCAGGAGCCGGGCTGAGGCTGGGGTGAGTGTCCCCAGGACAGGAGAGCCCCGTCCCGGAGAAGCAGGAGCTGCACCAACCTTCCCGGGTGGAAAGGGCCTCGCAGGGAGTTGGAGCAGGACCCAGGAGGGCGGGGATGCCCTCGGGCTTCCTGGGACACTAACAGACACCTGCGCCCCAGGAGAGCGCCACAGCCACGGCCGAGCTCCTAAAGGCCACAGCCCCGGCGAGCTCCTTAAAGGGCTGCAGCACGCGCCCGGCTGAACCGGGAGCAGCTCGGAGGGGCTCGGGCAGCGGCTCCCGTGGAGGGGACTGCCTGGCCAGGAGCACAAATCCAACAGCGCAGGCCCGAGAGCACAGGGCGCCAGGGACACAGCCCAGGATCCGACCTCCCCCGGGACAGGCAGAGGCCGGGAGGGCCCAGGACAGCAAGGACGCTCCTGCCCCGAGCTGAGCAGATCAGCGGCCCCGCCCCGGAGCATCCAGGCCCTGCAGACCAAGAGCTCCATAGTTACTGCGGAGGCTGAATCCAGGCTCCCGACTGGCCATAGCCACTGCGGTTGTTCCTCCTGGGGCCTCACGGGGTAAACAACCCATGACCTCACAGGGCTCAGTAACAGGAACTACCACTGAGCCTGCACCAGGCAGGGGCAGAGCAGCTCCCCCAAGTGCTAACACCTGAAAATCAGCACAGCAGGCCCCTCCCCCAGAAGACCAGGGACATGAGACGGACCAAGTTCCAGGGGAAGTCAAGGGACTTACAGTCTACAGAATCAGAGGATACTCCCCCGTGTTTTTTTTTTTTTCTTTTTGCTTTCTTTTGATTTCTGATTGCTTCCCCCACCCCCTTTTTTTCACTTTCTTTTTTTTTCTTTTCTATTTTTCTTCTCTTTTTTTCTTCCTTTTTTCTTTTTTTCTTTTTCTCTTTTCTTTCTCTTCCTCTCTCTTTCTCCTTTTCCCAATACAACTTGTTTTTGGCCACTCTGCACTGAGCAAAATGACTAGAAGGAAAACCTCACCTCAAAAGAAAGAATCAGAAACAGCCTCTCTCCCACAGAGATACAAAATCTGGATTACAATTCAATGTCAGAAAGCCAATTCAGAAGCACTATTATACAGCTACTGGTGGCTCTAGAAAAAAGCATAAAGGACTCACGAGACTTCATGACTGCAGAATTTAGATCCAATCAGGCAGAAATTAAAAATCAATGAATGAGATGCAATCCAAACTAGAAGTCCTAACGACGAGGGTTAACGAGGTGGAAGAACGAGTGAGTGACATAGAAGACAAGTTGATGGCAAAGAGGGAAACTGAGGAAAAAAGAGAAAAACAATTAAAAGACCATGAAGACAGATTAAGGGAAATAAATGACAGCCTAAGGAAGAAAAATCTACATTTAATTGGGGTTCCCGAGGGCGCCGAAAGGGACAGAGGGCCAGAATATGTATTTGAACAAATCCTAGCTGAAAACTTTCCCAATCTGGGAAGGGAAACAGGCATTCAGATCCAGGAAATAGAGAGATCCCCCCTAAAATCAATAAAAACCGTTCAACACCTCGACATTTAATAGTGAAGCTTGCAAATTCCAAAGATAAAGAGAAGATCCTTAAAGCAGCAAGAGACAAGAAGTCCCTGACTTTCATGGGGAGGAATATTAGGGTAACAGCAGACCTCTCCACAGAGACCTGGCAGGCCAGAAAGGGCTGGCAGGATATATTCAGGGTCCTAAATGAGAAGAACATGCAACCAAGAATACTTTATCCAGCAAGGCTCTCATTCAAAATGGAAGGAGAGATAAAGAGCTTCCAAGACAGGCAGGAACTGAAAGAATATGTGACCTCCAAACCAGCTCTGCAAGAAATTTTAAGGGGGACTCTTAAAATTCCCCTTTAAGAAGAAGTTCAGTGGAACAATCCACAAAAACAAGGACTAAATAGATATCATGATGACACTAAACTCATATCTGTCAATAGTAACTCTGAACGTGAACGGGCTCAATGACCCCATCAAAAGGCGCAGGGTTTCAGACTGGATAAAAAAGCAGGACCCATCTATTTGCTGTCTACAAGAGACTCATTTTAGACAGAAGGACACCTACAACCTGAAAATAAAAGGTTGGAGAACCATTTACCATTCAAATGGTTCTCAAAAGAAAGCAGGGGTAGCCATCCTTATATCAGATAAACTAAAATTTACCCGAAGACTGTAGTGAGAGACGAAGAGGGACACTATATCATACTTAAAGGATCTATCCAACAAGAGGACTTAACAATCCTCAATATATATGCCCCGAATGTGGGAGCTGCCAAATACTTAAACGAATTATTAACCAAAGTGAAGAAATACTTAGATAATAATACACTTATACTTGGTGACTTCAATCTAGCTCTTTCTACCCTCGATAGGTCTTCTAAACACAACATCTCCAAAGAAACGAGAGCTTTAAATGATACACTGGACCAGATAGATTTCACAGATATCTACAGAACTTTACATCCAAACTCAACTGAATACACATTCTTCTCAAGTGCACATGGAACTTTCTCCAGAATAGACCACATACTGGGTCACAAATCGGGTCTGAACCGATACCAAAAGATTGGGATCGTCCCCTGCATATTCTCAGACCATAACGCCTTGAAATTAGAACTCAATCACAAGAAGAAGTTTGGAAGGACCTCAAACACGTGGAGGTTAAGGACCATCCTGCTAAAAGATAAAAGGGTCAACCAGGAAATTAAGGAAGAATTAAAAAGATTCATGGAAACTAATGAG